TTTTTTAGAAATTTTCATAAATTTAAAATACGAAAAATACCTAAAAATATTATAAGATATAAGATTTTTCATCAGAGATTGGTGAAAACATCTTATTAATGTACACATTAAATATATAATACCATAAACATTTTTAAATCATCCTCGTTTTTTTTTAAACCACTCTCTATAATTTTTAGTTTCTTCATATGAATTTGAATTTCCTTATGAAGGGTTTCCACAGTTCGTTGCGCATCTCTGATTTGATGTTCCCATGTGTATCGTTTTTCTCTCATTGAAAATGCCAAATCGTATAGTATTTTATCACATCCTGGCGGACATATGTTTTCATCGAGATAAATTAACTCGGATTCTCCGTTATCGATACCGTTCGTTTCATCTGAATCCGTTTCAGTCGTCGTAGTAGTCTCTAAAAGTAGACCATGCTAACCATTAATACACTTCAATTATATGTCAATAGCGATAATTTTTTTTCAAATTTATACAATTGGGTACTGCTTCTTCTTAAAATATTCTTATTACCATCATCTTCCTTCACTTCTTTATATTTCTTCTTGAATATTCTGCATAGAAAATTACGAAACTTGTTATCATTTATTCTACGCATGTACTCGGAAAAAATATCTTTAATCTGATTACGTAATTTCGTAATTTCCTTGGTTTTAATGTCAACTTTGTCGGTTGCTGTCTGTATCTAAAAATATCAATTGTTGTGCGTTATGTCTTTTCTTACATACGATTGTTATTGAATAAAAAAATTGGGTAAAATACAATTATAACAAACTTTTTGCCTCACTGCTGCGACCTCTTCTGATCTACGATTAACTTGATCATGCAATACATTTTCCATTGTCTCGTACTCTTTTAAGATAATGTATTCCTGACGGAGCGTCAATAAAAATAAATTAAGATTGACATTGTCGGCAACAATGTCCAATCTATCGTGTTCTAATTTATTTAACTTCTTGTCTAAATTTTCGCAATTGGTTTGTACATATCTTAATATGCAATCTTGTTCGTATATTTTGCGTAGTGTACGAGCAGATTTCATTTCACGTTCCCACGGACTTTCGGTAGCATCGCTCAAATGAAGTAACTTCATATTATCTTGGACAATGGGTTCTACTTTTATTTTTTTTTCTGCAATCAAATGATAAAATGAATTGACTTGTGTAAACAGATAGCCTTTAAAACAATTATGCAATTTGCAATATGCAATTAATTATATATACTGTTCCGGGATTTTTTAAACACTTTATATATATTTATATATGATTATATATAGACTTTTTTTTACCGGGCAGTCCGACAAAAATTCTCGCATATTCTGAAAATTTCTCATCTAGAAGTAACACTTCATATTCTTCATCTGGACAAACAGGCATCTGCTCTGGCAAAATTGTTGTCCGTCTTTGTCTGTCTGCCTTCAATATATATTCTCCAATCTAAATATGTGATAAAGTTAAAGCATATTCTTATACGATATAACTTAAATATTTATATTTATATGAATATTTATAATTGTCAAATACATAGTACAATAAAAACCTATGAGAGCTATTATATTTGACATTCTCGGGAGCTCATTTAAAATCACTTATATTTGTCTTATTTTGTCAATAAAATGTATTAATACGCACCATTATTTTTCTCTCGGGAAATTCTATATTAATATTTAATGTAGGTATAACTGGCAAAGGTTTCGCACTTTTCAATGGTATCTCGGCATGAATCTTTTTGAGGGATTTTATTAATTGTAGAACTTCTGCGTGCAAGTGTTCCTTTTCTGCTCTCACAGCTTTCAGTCTCGTGTTAAAGGCTTCTTGCTGATAGTAAAGCTGCAGATATCATCAAAAGCTTTTTGTAAATGATAAAATTTCTGGTATAGAAAATAATCAATCATATATAATTAAAAGCACATGTAACGTAAATTTAAAATATTTTTTAAATTTATCGATACGGAAACCTTTTTTCGGCAATTTAGCAGCTCCTTATATTTCGAAAAGAGAGTATCTCGTTCTTCCGATAGCAAGTTGAAAGCTGACGACGTTTTTAATTTATAATCACCGATAGTTCTTTTTGTTTCTTCTATAGCGAGTACATCTTGCATATAATGAACAGATACATCCGGTTTTTCATTATATATAACTTTCCACTGAATATAAAACAAATCCATGATTAAATTGCAATAATAATAACAGAAACTTGATTTTATATTAATGTCTAACAATAAGACAATAAGTTGTACTAACTTCTTTTTCGCGTTCTTCCAGTTTCGTCTTTCTCAAGGTATATTTACGTAACATTTGATTTAATTGAATTCCTAGACTGCTATCCATCCCTTCGTAATTTATGCCCTTTAAAAAATCTGCGATTGGTTTTGTTTCTGCCACCTCAATTTCTTCTTTCGTTTCCGCTTTATCTTCTTCTCGTTGCTTCTCCTCGTAATATTCCATTTCATCGTCCGTTACATCACTACTCATATAATAGATAAACATTATACATTTTAGACAAATGAATCGTTTATAATAAATATTTATTCTAACGTGAATTATACCTATTTCCATTGGCTTCTTCTTCGGACACTTTTATGAGTTTTATCGTATCGGTACGCAGCAAAGTAGCATCAATGTCCAAAATGCGTTGACGTAAGGAATATATCATGTCGTCTGGTTTTCTGTATCAGTAAAGATACTATATCATTTGCGTTTACATTTTTTAAGGCTAATTTTCACTTACGATATTTTGCAGACAACGAATGGTAAACATGTAATGGGTTGAACAAAGTGTTCTAAAAGTTTTTGCATTCCAAGCTCGCTTTTCTCCACTCTAAACGCCAATTTCTCGCGTACTGCAGCCATTTCCGCGTCTAACTCTTTGTTTAAATCGGCTGTAATTCTAGAATCTAGTTCTAATTCTTTGTAAATTAGTTGATGAGATTTTGGCAGTGCGTTATTCCTAATGTGTAAAAAAATATGCTGATACAACTTCTTACTTAATGTTACATAACAATTACATCTTGAAAACTCTGTAGAATAAATTAAGTGGTACAATTCTGAACGAATTAAGATATATTTGAATCCAATTTCGAGATTCTGATCGCATTGTGTGAAAGGGTACCAAAGGGTACCTTTCAATTTTTTTTTATTATCAAACAGGGAACAACCAAATTTGAACCCTGGCAATTGCGTTTAAATATTATTTCGTTCAGATGAATTGTATCACTTTACTCTATATATTTGGCATCGTCGAAACCTTTCCACAATCTTGCTATATTCTTCACTCAATTTGAGTAATATCTCCAAAGTCTGTTGTTTACTCTGCCTTGCTGCAGTCGCAATTCTATCATATTCGGCTTGCTGAATCGTCTCTTCCAGACTTGCATAATCAATTTCTTCGATGTCTTCAACATTAGCATATGGCTGTATTATAACAAGAATTTATCAAATCATACATTCGCAAGAGACAACTATATAAATCAGTACTACGCTATAACTTTCAATTAACAATGTTTCAAAATATGATTAATAAAAATTTAAACATATACCAAGGATAACGTTCCTTTGGTTTTTTCAAATTCAATTTCCTCGAATGGCGTGTCATCATGTATCTCGTAAGAGAATAAATTCCCGTCGTATCCACACGTAAATAACATTTTTTGGTCACGACTGAGAACCATTTTTGGAATGTAGCCGTTATAATTATCATGCATTGGAAGTATCCAGTAATCTGAGAGATCTGTATAATTTTCGGATTTCCATCTACAAATCCGTACTTCTCCGTGCTCCATTCCCAGAAACAAGTACTTCCTTTTCTTACTAGCGATAATTAAAATGAATGAACAATGAATACGTTGTATGAATTACTTTTTGCACGATATATGCGTAAGAATTAATTATTTTATTTGCGCTTACTAAAAGAGACAGCTGCGTATTTCTGTGTCGTCTGCGTCGTATATTACAGTACTTTTAACAGGCTCTTTCCCAATAACTTCAACAGTTTCTGGACTTGGATATTCGTACATATATCCCGCGTCAAAGCCTGCCATTGACAACCAAATTGTATTACGATTAATGTATTGTGCTATCAATACCTTGTTTGGTATTTTTGGTATGTAAAGTTCTGGCAATGGCTCTTCTTCTTCCGTATCTGTTGAAAAAAAATATTTAACTTTTACTTTAATTTTATTGATTTTATATCCGTCATTTTAAACTAAACGATAAAATTCGAATAATACATTATTATTTCAGAGAGATAAGATAATACGTAATGTAATAACCGAGAAATGCCTCTTCATTAATTTCTAATCCGGGACTTTCGGCTATTAATCGCTCTACTTCTTCACGTTTTTTCGCTATTCTCGCTTTCTTCTCTTCCTCTCGACGTAGGCGTATTAATTCTCTTCGAATAGCAGATTTTACAGAATGGAATTTAAATGCTTTTGATTGACATTGAATGAGTTTGTACGAAGCGGTAGTGTACGATTGAGGGATGCTTGGTAATGTAACTTCTACGCAATCGCCATGTGAACATCCAATTAATAATGTTGTTTCCTGTAAAATTTAATTTCTGTAAAATGAAATAAAATTAAGAGTGATTATGGATAATTCGGTGTAAATTGTAGCATATTATTTACACATTGCGGTTTCCACGTGAGACATGTGACTCCTGAAGGTACTTTAATGAAGCCTATTGGCGTAATGACAGGAAAATTTTTGGTGATTTTAATAATGAAATTAAACACGGTTGAATCTTCACTACCAGTCACCAGTAGGCTAAAATATTTTTATATAGAAATTATTCTTATAACTATATCTGTGACGATCCTTTGCGCATATTTTTTATTGAACATAGATTATGGCTCATAAAAATAAAAATACAAATTCAATAATAAAGCGACTCATGTTATTAAATTTATTTCCAAATTAAACTATTCTCCCTATATACTATATATCTCATAGGGAGGGGGGGGGGAGGTAAAATTATATTCACGCATTGTTTTCTCATAAGATTTCATTTTTGACATTAAACTTTTTTTTGACGGAAATTTAAGGACATTTATTTGACATTTCAAGTATTTTCGCTAAAATTCCATCAAAACGGCAATTAGACGTGTGACATTTTCGGAAGTTTATCCATATTATATACTTATATTGGCTGCTCATGCTGATTCATAAAATGTTAAAACTTTTTGCGGGACTATTATCATGTTTAAGCGTTTCACATAATTACTTTAATGGTCTAACATAATTATTTTCAGATCTATATCTAACTTAATTTTTGTATACTTCAGCAAAACTGTTCTTTGCACGTATTAATGCAAAATAATAAAAGATAACGCTCGTTAAAATAATACTTTTCGTACCTGTATGATGGATTTAGAGACATTGCGGTTATTGTCATTTTGTGCGGTTTTATAACTTGAATCAACCTAACATAATCTCCCTTTATATTGTCAGCAGCATCAGCCACTGATATCGCGACAGCAATTATACGAATAACGCCACTTCCGAAAGCACAAGCAAGTGTCGATCCTGTTGCTTCAATCTTGCGAATAAATAAGAATAATTTTATAAGTTATCATTTTTTATATGAAAATATTTAAATGCGTAGAAGATAAATTTTTTTACGGGATTATAGTTATATAATAAAATATCAAAAAACTAACATAAATTCTTATGTTAATTGCATTAATATATGTTACAATTTATCATATTAAAAGAATGTCTAATGGAAAACAAGTAAATAAATTTATAATGCCAACTTACCTGGCATGGAAACCAGACAAGTTGACTGCCAATGTCGTTAAATTTATGCGTTACAATTAACTTTTTTTCTAGATAATTATAAATATGCAGCTGTCCAGCTTTACTAAGTGTAGCTATAAAGGGACCCCACGTTGCAGCATCCATGTCGGCAACAGCTCCCGCGTGGCATGTAAATATTTTTCGCGGTAGTTCTGCTTTTAAGGTATGTAAGTCTATTAGCCAAATTCCACCATTTCCATCCTTGAGTAGAACAGGTATTATTGTTAAAACTCCATAAATATTCCTTTAATCTTCTTTTTTAAATTTATTTTACATTAAATTTGCTATCACTCTGATTGTGAGATATATCTGAATATTCTTAATATACATAATTATAGACATTTATTACTTACTTGGGCATACCAAAATGTACTTTCTGGAGTGTCTGGTTCTTGTTTACACATACACATTAACATTGAACTATTAGTTGCACCGTCTTCACTGATGTGATATTCATAAATAGGTTGAATCTCTAGAAAACGTTCTCCGGTTTGGAAATTTGCTTGATCTATAGTTTCATAAAACCAAATTCGAATCCATCCATCCATACCTATACAATTCATCCGTAAAAATATATATTAGAATTCTTTCAAACAACTTCAATCTCTCTCTCTCTCTCTCTCTCTCTCTCTCTCTCT